GGGAGGAGAATTGCCTAAAGAATGAAACACTCCAGGAAGACAAGTTGATCTTCCATAAGAAAAAAAAGTGCTTCTCAGTACAGTGCCTCTTCTGCAGTCCCTGCTCTATTTAAGCATTTTCATTATGCTTTTCATCAGATTTTTTTTTTTCTTATTAAGATTCAGACCAGAATTCCTTAGAAAAGATGAACTACCAAAAGCACTGAACTACCACTGTCACATTTTCCCTTGTGTTGGTTTCAGCTGGAATTGATTTCCAGTTCTGATTTGCTTTGGTGTACGTGCTCTTGACAGGAGTATTTGGTGCAGATCTGTGCTTTCCTGACAGATATTAGCTGATGACTTCAATATTTAAAATGAGGTTTGAGTACCTTTGCCATCGCCACTAAGAAATGGGTTAAGAATTCCCTTCCCCATCACATCAGATCAGCCACCTCTTTACCCAGACTGAAAAGTAGGCCAGAGACATTCACATTTTTCCAGGTCTCACAGAAGAGCTAAACGAGCTTTGAAAACTCATGCTATTTTTACAATGCTTTGGTAAGCTTGCTGTGAATAGGCACTCTTGCAAGGTACCATTGTGGAATATAGTCCTTGCCAGATAAAATGATCTGATGTGAGCAGGCCCTGGCACTTGGTGAAGAGCAAGAATGTATCTAGTTAATGAAGAATGTTGTAGTTTTGCCAAGTGGATTTTTTCCACACAGTTTTTAAATGGAAACCAAACAGACATCTCTTATTTCTAATAGAAACAATTTCCAGTAGCTGAACCGAGAGGAATTAAACTTGTTCAGACATAATTGTGACTTAGTAGTCTAGTTAATCACTTACAGATTGGAATAATATTCAAAAGGTTAATCATTAACAAATCATATAGATAATGGCAGTCAACAGATTTGCATCAGGATTTTCAAGTTACAATACCTGATTTTCAGAAAGGCTCTGTTACGTCTTTAAGGCTCACTCCTTGTTTTTTACTGTCCCTTCCTGTGTAGCTTCTGACCTTTCTCATCTCTTCAAATTAAGCTTTTAAATCTTTTTTTTTTTTCTGCTGCTTTTTCCTGCAAGAAGGACCCAAGCTGCAGCATCTCACTAACAAATGCACACTGACCTGTAGGGGAAAAGCAATTCTTCACCTTTTTAACATTAGTTGGTTTACCCTCGACAAAACACAGCAAACAGGGGAAGTGTAAAGTAAACATCTCCCTTTAAGAAAGATTTTGCACCTTTAGCATAGTAAATGCAGTAGGAAAAGAGTATCCTTCAAGATGGAGTATCATATGTTTGTATGCCAGAATAACAGCATGGAGCACTGCTGTCTGGTGCAAACATCTTACCCCCTGCTCAAAACAATAAAAATCCCCTCTGGTAAATACACATCCTGCCTGTGACTGATCATATTTGTCATCTGAAAAGTTGCTTCAGAGGGGCTTTGAGTTGCTTAAGGGTCATTTGTAGACAGGAGAAGAAAGAAATGAAGTCTGTACTCAAATCTGTCAGCAGATTTTAGTGTTCAGTTTTACCACTCTTTTAGTACAAAATTCAAGCAGCATTTCTAAACTGCCATCGTTCAGAGAATTGCCTTCAGGGAAGTTAACACATCCATAACTCAAATCTACCTGATAGCCAGTCTTGAAAATTACAGTTAAATTCAGACTCAGTTCTAGAGACGTAGCTTGCACTTCACAAAACTGTATATTTTAACAGCGGTAGTCCACAGGCTTTACACACACAGGAGAAGGTACAGAACAAATTTATGCTCAAAGCTTCAGATTTGTAATAGAACAGTTATGGGACAAAAAAGAAAAAGTATTTTTTAATTTTCTTCTCTTTGCATATGTCCACATTAAGCCCACTTCCTCCTCATTTACTTGCAAAAATTCAAGTTAAAACAAGTACCTACTAAACACAGATTTATTCCTAGGCTTTGATTTGCTTGGTTTATGGAGGCTGATAATGCTGCAGTAGTTTTACAGCATTACCTCGGCAGGCATGCCTGGAGCTGTAGCAAAAAGAAGGAAAAACGCACTGTAGCATGGCTCTGGGGTGAAGTTCACCGGTAGCTTTAGCACAAATATGAGCTCATTAATTACAACTCTATTTTTCAAGCACTTAGGACCTGGTAATCCTTCATAAGATGGATGTTTCAACAAACCATAGTTCTTATGGGAATTTCAGGTACAGGAAATGCTGTAAACAGGAGCTGCAGCAAACCATCTCAGACTTTCTAGTATCACTTCTGCCTTTGCTAGTGTCCTCTGAAATTGTTCTTTCTTTCCTTCCTCCTCCATCTTCTGCCAAATTTCCTTGTTTCAAATTCTTAATATTCACTGTTCACTACACTTAGAACAAAGTTTCCTTGTGGCAAATTCTTACTTGAGATTTTTTCTCTCCTTCACTGAAGAAAATTTGCTGCAGTGCTTCCATTCCATCTGAAGAACTTGAACTTTTATACTTGCTTTTTCACAACTTCAATATTTGGTCTTACCCCTTTTTGTATTGCCCCAGCTCCTGACACATATTTACACAAAGGCTTCATCCAAAAGTAACCTAAACAGAGTAAATTCTTGTGGATGTAAAATACTGTGGTATTGAAGAGCTAAAGCTTCATCCCTGCTAACACTATAAACTCTCTTCCTTCTGTTGCAAGCCCCAGCTGTTAGCCTGTGGGCTCTGTTGTCTTTCCTGCAATCCCCACTTCCTGCTGCTCAGTAGCCAAAGGATTAGTATTAAGCAAAGCATTTCAAAGTCTTGTCTTTAAATCTCTGGATCCTGTAACAGCAAAAGCTGATGAGAAAGTTCAATCACCACTGAACAGCAGGTCACATAAAGGAATGACTCTTTCCTTCTGCAGTATATATTTATTTACTTTCCGTCTTTCCAATTGGAGTCCCAAGAGAGTGTGAGGCATCGAAGATGTTAAATTCAAATTACGTTAGAGAGACTTCCAATCATGTGTTTTTAAACCCCATCAATACGACTTCAAAGAGCCCAATCCCAAAAACATTATTCCACATTTATGTTCTTGTTTCTTTTCTTCTGAGAACTTCTTTATTTTTTCTTATTTCAATTTCACCACTTTTATACACTTACCTGTGTAATTGATGGGGGGTGGGTTCCTGTTGCTTTACTTTTCTTTTATAGTTGTATAAAACAAAACACAGCCCTTGCCCATGGGGATGTTGCTTGCTGTTCGATGTAATTCACATACCGTACAGATTTACCATTTAGCCCACGTTTCTAGTAAGAAGCTGATGCTTTGATGCAGTTATCCTGTACGCTGGGATGTATGTGTGGATGGAGGAAGACAAGATACCAGGAAGAAAGGCCTGGATTTTTCACTGGATGTGAGTGTACCAATGTTAATGTGATTTACTTATGGTTCAACTTTTGAGTGTCTTTAAATGCATGATCATCTATTTCAGGCTGGGATTTTTAACTATTAAAACAGATATTAATGTTTCAGAACAGTAAGTCACGTACTTGATCAAGAAACTGAGCAAGGGAAACATGACTCTTGTTTGTACTGAGGAAGTTGCTAGTAATGGCTAAAAGTCATTGCTGCCCAGGATGCTCAGCTTTCAAAAACTGGAGTCTCATGGTGCTGTAAGTTCAAGACACAGTGATCTCAATATTCCATCCATCAGTCAGCTATTCACAGGCCTCAGCATTTGCCAGGGTAAGCACCTGAAGGGCTGAGTCCCATCTCTGTGACTTCCATCTTTCTCTATATAGGCTACCAATGAGACACAGACATTTTCAACTGTCTGTGCACTAATTCCCTTCTATACAGTGATCTTTAGTATTGCCAAATAAATAATTTTAACAACTAATTAGAATTATTTCTATGAATTATATTTAGAAAGAGAATTAAGCATATGTTTCAATCCAACAACTATAAAAACATTAATTTGGAGCATTTTCTTGGATGAAAGCTACTGACAACAAAGTTTAAAACCTAGAAACTAAAAGTACAAGAAAATATCAATATTTGTAAAATCTTTACTAAACTTTTTAATACAATAGTCAAGAGTAAAAAGTGAAGTGACACATACGCAGGGTTTTCTGGCAGGGATTTTGGGCAAGGGATGTGGTGAAATTGATACAGTTTACATTGAAGCTCAAAACATTCTTATTTATTATTTTAAAAAGACTTATTTAGAAAAAATGTATAATATCAATATTTGAGTTAAGAAAAATCTTAAAATAAAAACATTTCATTCCAATGTTTTCATATACTACATACAAGAAAAGCAAAAATGATTGGCTTTAATTTAACCCCTAACCCCTAACTAATTTAACCCCCTACTGAAATAATTTGGATAGGGCCAGTGTCTATATTTTTATAATAACCTGTTTTAACTATCGTTTGTTTATCCATTAATTCACAGATTCAGGCAAGCTTTCATAAGACAGTGCTGCTCCTCTGTAAGCTGCTTCTCTGTAAGCTGCTTGGTCAATTCCAAAGCTGTTTTTTTTACTCATTCTTGAAAGGAAATACCCTCTAACCACTTTTGATATTGATTTTCCCCATACACCAATCAATAAAGAACAATCTCCTAGTTTATGACATATAAACCAGTATAATTTTTTAGAGTACCAGAAAATTATCACCAGATATTGAGATGAAATGACAAATTGCATAATTGAAACAGCCCTGAAAAATAAAAAATTAAAATGTAAGTAGATTGTTATTCTGATAGTAGATGACAAGTATTCCATCTTGCTTCTGAACTGCCTTAAAAACCAGCTGTTTTAAATATCATGCAATTTTGCTCTGATGGAAAGCATTTGATTTGACAGTGATTTCTACGCCAATAATCCTTGGAGAAACATGTCCCGAATTTGTTCTACAGACTTCTGAATGCAAAGTAAAACCACTGAGTAATTTTTCTAGCCCAGTAGTATTTTTAAGCCACTAGATCAGTTCTGTAACTCTAAATTTAGTCATATAATCTGATTATGTAAGACAGAAAAGGCAGAAAAGGCAGATCTGGGCAGTGTAATCTGACAATAAATTCAGACAGACATGTGAGAGCCTTTGAAAACACACACCCAGCTAATAAGCATGCTAACAACTCTGGCACCCAGTAGGGCCACCTTAAAAAAATCATTATGTTCTAGTGAATGTCAATATTCATTTTACGATTTTACCTTACTTTCATAGCTTGACTTTAATTTTAGTGATAGTCATTACACGGTCACATTCATATCTCCATCAAAATTTACAGTAACTGGTGCACACAGCAATTACCTTCATGATTATCAGGAAGAGTTCTGTCTAAACGTATGTATCGGTGCAAAATCAAATTAGTCTAAAAATGGCCAACCTCCCCATCAAACTGGCTGAGAACAGTAACACATGCTTGCACAAAGCTGTCTTGAGAAGTTTACTGAAGAGCTCCTTTTCCTTATCTCTGCTGACCTTGTTTATTTTAAAACAGAAATGAACAAAGCAGCAACATTCTGACTGTACTTTCTGAGTAAAACACAGTTTAGAGTAACCTTATCGCTGCCTTCTTGAAGGACAGGTGAATACTAGACTGCCTACCTTGGCCTGAGCCAAGCAGCTTCCACTGAAAAGCTTAGCACCTGCCCTTGCACTCAGATCATAAGGCTGTATTCCAGGAAAGTAGTAAATACATCAAAGCATAATTTCCATTCACATTAATATACAAACTGAAACTTCATATATACAGGTTGAATTCCAAGAAAGGAACAAATATTTTTCATACAGTCTCCGATCCCAAAACAGGAAGTAATCCAGTAAGAATCCAATTAGCAACACATCACTATATAACATCTTCAACAATTGTAGTGTCAAAAATTTGGTAATAAACTTGATGATTCATTGCATCTCTGACATTATAGGACTTGATGAAGCATTCCAGCCATGGCAAGTCATCTATAAACAGAACCAAAATTATTGTTGAATACTAATTTCTATTTTTTATAGGACAGAAGTATTATTTGGGTAGGATCTTTACTAGGATATCTAAATTTATACAACAGTTAATAGGAAAATATATGAATTACTGATTTTGAAATTCCAATTTGTACCTTAAAATTTCTCATGCCATCTGAAATGGTGCTCAGTGACAAATTCCCAAGCCTTGCCCTCCCCACCCCAGCACCTCCCTGAAGCACTTGGTACCAGTAGTTGTACCACAGCAAAGCGCATATAAAGACTTTCCAGTGATAAGACACATTTCCATGTGTCTCAATGAGACAATGTTATTGGTCTCAAAGGTAACATCCTTGACCCCCTTTACAGCAGGGCCACTTTTTATAGGTATGGTAAAGACCCTAGCAGAGTTATGGTGGTCATTGACAGCCAGGTGCTTAGAGGGAATACATTCCAAAGGTTGAAGCTGTGGCAGGGACATACAGCTACTTTGGGTATGTGCAGTTCATGCAGAGCTACTTTCTGCCACAAGTGAAACACTGCACAAAACCATCTGTGCTTGGGTTTGGATTAAGTTCTTGCTCAATTTCCATGGAAGTCTGCTGCAGTAAGGGATGCTCTAAATCAGATGAGCATTCAAAACTAGAACCTCATCCAAAGCATGTGCCATGTGCCAAATTCCTTTTCAGTTTTCCCTAATGTGTTGTGACAGTACGAGGGTGTTCTGGTTAACTTCCATATGAATACAAATGACACGTTGGTGCCTGCATAGTCATGACTGTATTCGCATATCGCTGCATGCTACATGTGAATTTACTGAACCACTGCTTTTGTTTCTCAAAAGGAAGTCCTACTATTATAGGAATGTACTGAACAAATAACTGGAACTTTTCTTACCAACTCCTGCATTTCTCTGTTCTGAGTTTTGCCCATGCGTAATATGAATTCTAAGACTTTGCATATGCAATAGCAGACTGAAAGACCCTTTCCCTTCCCGTTCCCCTTTTAAAATATCAGCAAGCTGACCTAATTTTCCTCCTGGAGGACAGAGCGCATTCATGATCATCTGCATCTTCTGCTGAAGAAAATCAGTAGTTAAGATTTCAGAGGCAGGAATTTTGAAGAACTTTTCCTGGAGGAGAACACAAAAGTATGAGGTGTTGGAAAAGGGATAAGAAATCATTAGCCAGAACCCTCACTGCATGCTTTTTTTATAATTAAGAAACTTAAAATTATCCAGATAGGCAACACAACAGAAGAACAATATTATTTCTACAACTGTTCAGATACAGAAAAAAAACAAACTGTCATAAAAATTAAAAAAAAAAAAAAAAAAAATCAAGTCTGTATTTCAGTACCCCTGAGTATTCAGGGACTAGAGCCACCCAGAGAGCACACATATAACTGGCAAACATTTCTCATAAACCTCCACAAGCAAACAGTGTTATAGCCAGAGAGGATGTTCAATCCTCCTCAACAGTCGCTCACCGCTGTGAGTAGAGCATTTTGAGAAGAACAAAGTGACTTGAAAACAAGGGGGGACTGTAATCTGGCTTCATACAAGTGGAGCCCCCTTAGCGCAACTATCATTTTTGGACAGTTTTAGAAACTATGGAGAAAGAAAGGTATCCTGCAGTATAAGTCTGATTGGAGGAGTGAGATAAAGAATGGAACATGCCACATAAACCTTTTCTGTGTATTTTAAAAACATATGCAGTAAGCATGACTCACAGAAGTACCATTTTATTTTTTCTGTTTGTTACCTGATTTTGTATCCCTAAAGACTCAAAAACTTCTTTTCTCAAAGTGAGCTAAGGTTTTTGATGGCACTTCTTTTTGTTAAAAGATACAAATACAGAATTATCTGCCTTTGTGTAATTTTTCTGTGACATGTTTTTTGGAAGTGATCACAATTTAGCAGATAATCCAGTAGCAACCTTGACAGACAACTACTTTTTCCTCTTACTCTTCCAATTCTTCTTCTGACTATAAAACTTTTAAATTCTTTTCCTTCAATGCCTTTTCCTATAAAGAGGAGAGGAAAGAAAAGAACCGAGAGCATTCCAGCAGAAGCATGACTGGAAATTAGTGAAGTTGCATTTCAAAGTATCCCAGTTCCTTCTCAGGTGGTGCTGGAGGACCCAAGTTTAGGCTTGGAAGGTACTGGCTTGTCTTTGAAGTGCCACCACCAGGAAGGCTAGCAGCTGGCATTTCAGAAGAAACTCTGGTTTTATTTTTCCTGCAGCCAAGCTGTAGTACTAAGCATTTAAGAATCTGAGCTACCCTGAAATGGAGATTTTTAGAATTCTTCATCAAGACACGGTTTAAAAATCTTTCCCCCCACTTTCTTTTTGCAGTTTAGTTTCTCGATATAAAAAGAGAAAAGGACAGTAGTAGAAGGAAAAGTCGACTAGCTGAAATGGGGATTGCAGTCTTTTACCTCCTTGGCTGCTAATACACTGTATTTAAAGAAAACACACAGGTTTTCCAAATATTTTTCCTTACAGTCTTAAAATTAACGGAAGAGTATTCCCTTCAAAGTCTCTTAGCATAATGGTGGAAAACTTGTAGAGATATATATATATATATATATATATATATATATATATACACACATTAATTAGCATTGTTGTGTGAAAAAAATATTCCCACTAAATTGTTTCTCTGTCTTATTTTGGATAAAGTTGTAATTCTGAAGTGCCACTACACTATTTTCCATTTGGGTAGACAGATTACTCCAAAGTGTATTGTGAGATCCTGATATTCCCAACTATGAACTGCTGGAATCAAAATGCACTTATAGAAAGACAAAAGGAATAATATAATACTAATCTATTTTATATTATAATTCTATTCTTTGCCAAGCTCTTCTCACTTTTTTAAAATTATTGACATACCATCTCAAAATTTAGGGTAGTAACTATAATGGGCATATGCATGTGTGTATAAAAACCAAGACAAACCAACCAAGCAAAAAAACCATAAAAGGTAAAACAAAAGAGGAAAAAAAACCCACAAAGTACAGAGCAACAGATATTTCTACTGCACACAAAAATACATCTAAAGGAGTAAATTCCCTAAGGAGGATGCCACACATATACAATTCATCTTCAACCCCAAATTAGAGATGTAGGAAGTAATGACCAGCTCTGGTTACTAAAAATTACATTCCATATATCTTCATTGATGGACATTACAGCACTTGCACCTGTCCTTGCAAAACACTGCAGGTAACATAGAATGAATATTTCTGTACATACACTTGCTATTTTGAAAACCAGTAAAATCCAAAGCCACATAATCTGTACAGTCTACTTTTACCTATATTTACTTACATAGTCAAGAAGGTATGCATCTAGTGCTCCTGTTCCATCAACCAGTGTAAACTTCATAATAAAAACATACTGGAGTGGCTCAATGCCTAAAACTGAATTTAAAAGAAAAATGATCAATTTGTGTCTTAGAATCAGTACGCAAGACAAACTATAACAACTCAAGCTGACAATAGTCTTCCTTTAACAGAAACTGACTTTGAAGACTGCCATTAAAAGTATAAATTGAGAAGCCAAAAAAAAAAAAAGGCTCTGAATAGCAAGAAGTGGTTTGTATTTTGAGAGTGCATTGCAATCTGCCTAGAAACACTTCAACAGATCAGTCTATGAACACAGAGAATTTTTTTTTTAAGCACTTATTCTCATCCTAGTAAAAGAAATGCTAATATTTGCTTAGATCTTAGATACTACCTTGGTAGGTTCCTCCTCCTCCTTTTATCCACTGAAGATTAAAGGAGACTTGTTCTTAATTCAGTGATAGTAAGCTGCCATTCCACCTGAAAACATATCTTCTGAGGAAAAAAATTCTTTCATATGATGCAGTAAAAACTACCAGGCAAAGCCTTATTCAGGAAAACTGCTGGCAGTTCTGAAAACATTCCAACATACGTAAATGACTGTAGTCATTCTCTCACTGGCAGCAGTAACTGTCATGCTGCAAACACAGAATATCTTAAACATCCAAAGTTATTGCAACTCTTCATCAGTCTTTTCTGGGTACATCTATTTAAACTGGCTAGTCATTTTATGTTCAACTGATCTGATATACTTGCAGGTTACAATTAATCTGAAAATAGAGATGATAAAAGAGTACTAAATAAAAAATAGTTTAAATGCAGAAAGCATTTAATGAATATTGCTTTCATTTTGAGAATTAAATGTCAATTGCAGATGCTGTAACACTGCCAGTTATTTTTTATTTTTATTTAAGCAAATATAACAGTTCATTTAAGAGAATCACTGTACTGCTCGAATAGTTTTTTTCTTTAATAAAACTTCTACTAAGCTTAGATACTACTAGATATTACAAATTAGTATGTTAGAACATGAATGGATAAGCATGAGAACATTCCTTTTCTTTAATGTGAAGTTTTAAGCTCTATTTTATGTTCAGCATTTGAATGTATTGCCTACATAAAGTAACACAAAGCATGTAACACATGTGCTACAGTGTAATTCCTTTAATTTAAATATTATTTCTTGCAGACTCTCTGGAATATGCTTAGGATCAATTATGCTTACAGAAGAAAAAAACGTCTAACTTGCAATAGCCATCTTTAGGTCACAAAAAATATATCTTCAAAAGGAAAAGCAAGACTAACTTTTAGGACTGCAAGCATGTACAAGTTTAAAACTGACATCTGCAACCAAAAATTCATCACATTTGTGATGTGCCACAATACATGTTACTAGGGACACCTATGGTAAAGGAAACTAACATGTAAAATCATTTAATTAATAGTGTGACAGTTTCAAAAGGAAAAATATTATTTTAACTGGTAAAGGTGAATTAATTTTACAGCGTCATGCTCAAACATAACCATAAATGACATACTTCCTGTACAAAACTGTAACCCAGAAACCAAACCACTTCACATAAACACTTCAGAATCAAGGCACAACAGTAGTTCAGGACAATAACACGTCAACTGACCTTGTGCTATTTCAGTTGGTTCCCATGATGGTTGTTGTTTTTCTGCTACCATGGAACTTAGACTCTTGATAGGCTTTGGAGTTGAACACTGCTTGCACCTAGCATTTAAAACAAGATACTGAGACTAAGCAAACACTGATTTGTTTATACTAGAAGTTTCTGCACAGGAAAAAAAAAAAAAAGAAATCTGATTTTCTTTTTGATTTGCACTCAGTGGGAGTGCAAAAGTATTTTTATTGCTGTTTAAAATAACTGTTTTACCAGATAAACGAGCTTTAGACCACACCAAACCCCTTAATACTCCTTTTGAATTATCCCTGCAGAGAAATAAAATGTTGGTCTGGAAAAGATCACCTCGGTGAACAGGAGGGAGGAAAACTGTGTATCTAAGGTGAGAGAGTCAGGGTTGTTCAGCCTGGAGAAGAGAAGGCTCTGGGGAGACTTTAGAACAGCCTTCCATTACCTAAAGGGGGACGGTAAGAAATGTGGGGAGAGGCTTTTTACAAGGCTGTGTAGTGATAGGTCAAAGGAGAATGGCTTTAAACTGAAAGAGGGTAGATTCAGATTGGGCATTAGTAAGAAGTTCTTTACTGTGAGGGTGGTGAGGCCCTGGCACAGGCTGCCCAGAGAAGCTGTTGCTGCCCCATCCCTGGCAGTGTTCAAGGCCAGGTTAGATGGCGCTTTGAGCAATCTGGTCTAGTGGAAAGTACCCCTGCCCACGGCAGGAGGGCTGAAACTAGCTGATCTTTAAGTCCCTTCCAACCCAAACTATTCTACGATTATAAGATCACTACATTGCTAAATATACATTCATATGCCACCACTTTGCTGTTTATCAATACAAACAACACCTAACTTTGTAAAAGCAGGAACGAATCTGAATTTGTAGCACACTAAAAACACAACAAGGTTAGAAGAGAAATTTGGCTTTACGCATGTTAAAAAATATTAACTATGAGTTATTAAAACAATGTTTCTTATTACTTGTATTTACAACAGTAATTATAAATTTTACATGAGACACAGCAAATGTTGTAAGTGGATAAAAATGTTGGAGAACTGTATTTAACATTGTTCTCATTTGCCTCAAGGAATAAAATTACCGAACAACTATTATTTTTTCCAAATTAAGCTGTTGCACTAGTATATTACAGTTAGAACAAACCAGACATTTTTTACCTTTTAGAATTAGATGCAAAATGTGTCATAAAAATCAAAAGCACTGGTTTTGTTCAAGTGATATAAAGTCAAGCTCAATGAAGCTACTTTTTTTCCTTTAAAAAACCCACCAAACTTCAATACAGTAACTGAGCCAGGGAATTTTTTATATGCACGTGTGTTTATGATTTTTATATTTATATATGAATACGCATGCATATATGCACACGCATAAATACTTATACAGTTATCCAAGCTCACTGCTATAGCAAAAATAAATTTGCATTTCATTACACTATCCAGAATCTTTTTTAGACTTCGCTAAATATATGCTAGTGATAAAAAAAGCACATGGAACAAAGCTCTGAGCTGTCACCATTCTTGTGAGGCTCTTTCGTAAACATCCTATAAACAATCATGGAGTATGTTCTAGAGAGTTGGTTTCTACAATACAGCCATTTAAACAGAAAACATCTGAAGGCAAATTGTCCTTAGCTGGGAAAATACATGGATTATGAAAGTGCAAGGGGAAATAGTTTGTACTGGTGATCAGTCTCAGTAGGAATACCTATATATTGTCTTTATTTAAAAAAATACCTGTAAACGGCCAAAAGAGCAAAACAATATATGGCAAAGAGAAATAATTATATGCATTCAGTTTTATCAGGGCCTTATGGGAAACTTTAGGGTCATGTGAAACATGCAGTATTTCTGCACAGAAATTTTTTTACTGCTTACAGGACTGAAGTAGTGCAACTCTGCTCTGCTTGAACTTACTAGAATTGCTGGGAAGGAGGACTCAATAGCTTGCATGAAGTAGATTCCCATACCTGAGCTTGGTAAATGCATGCTGCTGTGTGTGGGAGAACATACTACTGCTAGCTCTCATTGAGCAGGAGCACCGTATTGCATAACATGGCTCCAATACCAGACCTAGATGGATGTACCATATTGCACAGCCTTGGATCTGTGGAATTTAGAACCCCCCTGAAGTTGTCTTACAGTGACTGATAGCCACAAATAGGTAAGGCACTTCATAGTGTTGTGGATCTCAATAAATGTCAAATGGTTAGAAAAGGCTGTCCAAAATCACAGAATCACAGAATGGTTTGGGTTTGAAAGGAGTTCAAAGCTCATCTAGTCCAACCTCCTGCAATGAGCAGGAACATCTTCGACTAGATCAGGTTGCCCAGAACCACATCCAGCCTGGCCTTGAATGTCACCAGGGATGGTGCATTTACCACCAATTTGGGCAACCCATTCCAGTATTTTACCATCCTCATGGTAAATAATTTCTTCCTCAAGTCCAGCCTGAATCTCCCCTCTTTTAGTCTAAAATCAGCACCCCTTGTCCTATCACAACAGGCCCTGAAAATCCCTTATTTCTTCCCAAACCCAAGCTTTCTCAACACTAAGAATAAGAGAGAATGAGATGTGGATTGACAGCCTGAAATTATTTCCTAGGTCTCTACTTAAATATCGTGCGTGTACAAAAAACCGCCAGCATGCAATTTTAAACAAACAAATGTATTGACTTTAGCCTAATGTGTAAGACCAGAAAATGTATTTAATGTATTTTTCTGGCCAGAAAATGGAAGATATGGACTAAAAGTGGACTATTAAGGAATTCTGCAGCCTAAAGAGGTTCACATGTGTGTTTTTGTCTCTGTAGCATACTGCCGTACCCTCACCTCACAGGGAAGACTGAACCTGGGACACTGCATCATTAAGGTCATAAAACTTATAGAGCAAGATAAAGCCCAGTTGCAGTTGAGTCCTTTGAAACAAAGTAGTAGTATGGCACTTCATCCCTGAGCTTAGTACTGATGATCACATTATGTAATCTGCATCAAAGAATCTTTGGGTAAGTTATGCCTTGAGCACCGTGTTTTGAATTACTGAAAAAACCTGAATCTATTTATTACTGCTGCTACTAAAATATCAACAAATACTTTTAACCTACCCATAATATTTTATGTTCCCTTGGAAAAGAAAAGGAACTGAAAGATCTAATAAGTCAAGATCATGTTCTGTGGATCTCACAGGAATAACACATTTAAATTTCTTTGTAAGCTTCCAGATTTCTTTTAATGTTCCACCTATTAAAAAAAAAGAAAAACATAGTGGGTTTTTTGAAACTGTAATCAAGAATAAATCAAACAACTTGCAGTTCCTGGCTAGTAAGATACTGATTTCAGGACCTTCAACAGAAATTGAGATCCACTATTGAGAACTGAGAAATTGATCCATTACCTTCTCACTCCTACTCAACAACAGACTCAATAAAGAATCAAAGATGGACATTAATGAGAGCAGATACCTTAATATCTTCCTCATAGCTATCATTGCAACCATGAAGTTGTATTTAGTTAGCATCATCTTCATATAACTTCTACTATGATTTTACCAGCAACTTAGAGAGAAAAAAAAACAAACTATTTGCAATTGCTCCTAAAATCTATTAATTTTTAAGTAGCAGTTTATGAAAAAGTAATAATTCAACCATGTCATAACTGACATGAGGTGGGAAACGCAGAACAACCAAATTTCATGCTAATTTGAGTGCCACTAAACTGGGGCCATGCTATGAACACAGAAGAAATTTAACATACTAACAGCTGGTATCCTAAGATTTTCCAGTTCCAGTGACAGGAAAAGGTTCAAATTTATTGTAAGTCACAGAATAACCTGCCTTCTGTCTCTATAGTATGGACTGCAGAACTGATTAAAGAATCTTTTTGACATTTCAGCAATTCAGTGGAAATGTGGTTAAATTTATTAATTTAAAACATAGAGAGCAGTTATTTGGACGTAGTTTAATAAAAATATATGATTTAATCAGCTTGTGAACAACAGCTAAAAAAGAGAGCAAGCTGTTTTAAAATAAATGTATTCTACAACTGTGTTGTTTACCACTAACTATAAGGTGCTTCAAAGAATTTATGACAAATAATTAGGACACTGGATTGTAAAATATTTATCACATATACTTATTACCTGTGCAATACAAGTGACAAGAAAATAAAATCAATAAAATTGTATTATTACTGGTGATTGAAAAATGCACAGCAGGAAACATCTTCAATAAACTTAACTTCTAGTAAAACAAACAAAAAAAAAACCCAAAGAAAACAGAGGCACAAATATTTGAAATGGCTTCCCAAAACGTTATAAAATAAAGGTCCTCCAAGTACAGTGAGACATATAAAGCCTCTCATGTATACTTGAACTCTCATTCAAGGGATTAACATACAAAACTCAGTTTTAACTGACATGGCTAAAAGGTCTCTAGAGTTTCAAATTTGCTGTAGTAAGAAGCTACATCAAGCAAATGTATTCTGGCTTCTAAGAGACTGGCATAAACCACAGAAAATTGGCAAGGATTGATAATGGCATGAATCACAGCGATCTCACATACAAATAATGAGGATACGCAAGAGTGTTAATCTTCATGTTAACTGTAACAGTTCAACAAGTTTGTAGCAATGGTTATAGATTCCCCTCACTCCCTGTGGAGGGCCACATAAAATTCTGTCCATTACCCAACTATTTACTCAATTCCAGCCCAAAAGATGCCAAACACTCAAAAAGAAGTCCTTGCTTCAGCATCATGATTATAAGAAAGAATACTGTGTTACAGAAGAGCAAATTGCTTGTGTTTATCAAATGGGCAGAATCTAGACTACATCTGTCTAATAAAAGTCATATGTTTGGCATTTGAGGGTTGTCTGTATCTGGAAAAGTGCTGGGAAAATTTCTATGGGGACTTCAAAATCTCCACCTCAAAAATTTTAGAGATAAATATTAAAATGGCATGTGGCTTCATGACCAGTGCTCTGGGAAAAGCATGAAAACACTCATTATGCCTTTTCCTTGTGCTCCAATATAAAGCATGTGTATCCACATACAGAAATACTTAGCTGCTGGCACTTCAATACTCGAAAAAAAAATCTACCAAGATTTATATATATATGGGGGGAGGGGTATTTTAGGAACACACAGTAGAAATAGATTATTTTTTCTTTTGTTTTCACAAAGATAAGGTTAGATTGAGGAAAAAAAAAGGAAATAAAACAAAAATCCAGCTTGGAACATAAAATGTCTAAAACAAAGCAACTATCAGAAGTAGTTGACTCTAGAACAACTATAAAACAGAACTATAAAACAGAAGGGGTTTTGTCATTGACCCTTACACAAAGGGCCACCTGACATATTCACACCACCACTTCAGCACAACTGAAGACTTTGTTTTAAACTCAGAATGGTGCTATATACAATTGTTTTCTATTCAAAACATTCCTTATTACTGCTAAATTGCTTTGTTTAAACAGTCAGTGGCTATTTTCGTCCCCCGAGGAAATCTCATAAAAACCAAAAATACTTCCTGCTGCAAGAAGCTCTATTAGTCTGAAACAACACTGACATCCAGAGGCTGACAAAGTTAATTCTAGGCTTGCATTATCAGAAGCTTTCAAAAAACTTTTCCACATTAATACTAAAAAGTTGTTTTTTTTCTTTTTGAAGACTCTGAGTTCTCAAATCAGAACTGAGAAAACAGTAAGCACAGCTAGAAAAAAAAACAGAGATGTTAATTTTAGCAGAAACAATAGTAAAATTATTGGTATAAAGTAGATCATGTAAGATTTTCACAGATGACTTTTTGCTGTTTGCACAACAGTAACTTAAAGTTCCAGTTGTTTGGTTTTGAAGACACCTTTATGATCATCTCTACTTGAATACAACTTCAACATATCTTAAGTTTATATATGCTCAGAGTGGACACCCTGTTGTAGGAAGTGATATATTTGCAATTTGTCTTACCTTCTATCATAAGCAATGAATTTTTAGGATCTTGAAGAATTTCTTCATGCCTTACAAAATGGATAGCTATTTTCCTTTGTTTCTGGTCTTGTGTAGTCCACATTGCAGAATCATACCAGGATGTGTTGTGTAATTCTGGGTTTGGAGCAGGAATGGCAGATCCTTGTAAAATCAAGGCCAACTCATCTCCATGTGGAACATCTTGCCTAAAACAATTTCCAAAGTGAGTAAGTAAACTCTAAAAGCTTCTCCTTAGGCAATGTAGCAACAAGGACAATAGCACTCTGAATAAATATTAAAACATAAGAGTTAAAGTATATACAGGAAAAATAACTGGTTTATATCAGCTTAGACATTTGTGGTTGTATAGCAAATTATGACAAGAGAATTAATTTTTGTGTTAATAAATTCTCTAAGTAATCTAATTTTAAGATTATGGCGCAGAGGCAGCCTTGCGACTTCATCCACATGTATGTAAATCCATGCAAGAAAATAAACTATATAAGCTTTATATGATTTCAGTTGGGCCTGAATCCATATTAAAAGGGCCACATAAATGCATACCATTTCAGTAGAGTGGAAAGACTGTGTAAGTTCATATAATTTCAAGTTTTATGCTCTAGCCTATTTTATTTTGCATATCTGGTGGGTTCGGAAGGACAGGCACACAATAGCTTCATGTATGTCCTGCAAAGGGAAAATCTGCAACTCCGCACCACCACAGTTTCTTTCTTATTCCGTTAGAATGTACCATTTGTACATTTCCAGTTGTTACTCAGAGAAATAATGCAGGTCATTCAAAATTTTACCAATATTGCCACCAACAGGCAAAAAGCCAGTGGTTGGCACACAAAAATGCCTTTGAATGTTTTCTCCTAAGCAAGACAGCGCTTCAGGAATATGAACCGTGATAAAAAGACAATGAAAAAGCTATTTCAGAAATCACTGAAAGAAAGTAGGTGCCAAGCTTCAGAGTTGACTTCTGCAGATTATTCTGACAATTTCACTTTCAAACCTAAGAGCAGCTGCTTCCACCAGTAAGCAGGATAATTCCTGCCTCTGAAACCAGATGGTGATAATTCTTCTGCTGTGACTACAGAACTGGCACACAAGAGGTCTTCCGGGACCTGAACTTTCATTTCATGAACACAGTGCTGTTCATGTGAACTCTTTCCACTTGTGTTCCTGGATTACTATTTTAAATGCAACAGCATTAGACCTAACATAACAGGCCATCTTTCTAGATATACTCATTAAACTCTTCCAGCCTCTACAGCCAGCCTGTAGATTTCCTGCAGAGGCAGGAATGGAATGAATTGGTTTTGAACTAAGCTACACATGAGGGTGGAAACTTTCATAATGTGGACACATTAATAAAACTATCCACATATATTGATATTTTGCTATTTACAGAGAAACTTCCAGTCAAAGTCTAAAAAAAACAAAAATAAATCTCTCAAGGATTTTATATGCCAGGTGTTATGTGCATCTTACTGCACCAAGTGTTAAAGAATCAAACTTGTATTGAACGTCATTAGTTCATACTAACACAGCATACGCTAAAACAGGAAACAACTTCTGCCCCAGCAGAACATGTAGGAGAGAACTATGTCTCTAAATGTTTCCTTCCTGGGCCTCTTAACTCACCCAAATCCAGGCTGCAGTACAGATCCACTAATTTTCACTTTGGCATAAGGATAAAGTTCATACAGAACAAAAAAATTCTATAAATTGTATCTGCTTATTACAGAGTTGGCAAATATATCAAGAAAGTAAGGAAAGTAGGAGAGATAGTAATTTTCTCCTTTTTATACCTGGTAATAACGACCATGTATGCTGTGAAAATGATGAAGTATTTCCTCTTACATTAGCAACCAAGAGAATGTTATAACAACACCTGATAAGGACCAATATTGTTAAAGGGGCAAGCATACGACTTAGCATCCAGAGAAGGATAGTAGAGGCATTTTCTTGTCTCAGTAATATTTGTATGTAACATATTTTCACTGTACAAAAAATTTTAAAAGGTTAGGAGAATGCTACCATGCCATCTTTTAAGGAAAAGAGTAGTTTAATTTCACCAGTAACAATAAAACTGCTTGCTTGGGACAGATGCTAGGCTAAGTCAGGCAAAAATAGTGACACAGGATTCAGATGATCAAGAATAGGACTGTATCACATCACTCAGTAGTTTAATCAAAACCAGGCCATTTCAAACAGACTTAGAATCATAGAATCACAGAATAGTCAGGGTTGGAAAGGACCTTAAGATCATCCAGTTCAACACCCCCTCCCTGCCATTGGCAGGGAGCTCTCACACTAAACCATGCTACCCAAGGCTCTCTCCAACCTGGCCTTGAACACTGCCATTCACAACCTCCCTGGGCAACCCATTCCAGTGCCTCACCACCCTTACAATAAATAATTTCTTCCTTATACCCAATTTGAACTTCCCCTGTTTAAGTTTTAACCTATTACCCCTTGTCCTGTTACAACAGCTCCTAACAAGTAGTCCATTCCCAGCATCCCTATAGCCCCCCGTTCAGGTACTGGAAGGCTGCTATGAGGTCTCCACGCAGCCTTCTCTTCTCCAGGCTGAAGAGCCCCAACTTCCTCAGCCTATCTTCATACAGGAGGTGCTCCAGTCCCCTGATCATCCTCGTGGCCCTCCTCTGGACTTGTTCCAACAGTTCCATGTCCTTTTTATGTCGAGGACACTAGAACTGCACACAATACTCCAGGTGAGGTCTCACAAGAGCAGAGTAGAGGGGCAGGATCACCTCCTTCAACCTGCTGGTCACAATCCTTTTGATGCAGCCCAGGATACGGTTGGCTTTCTGGGCTGCAAGCGCACACTGAAGCCGGCTCATGTTCATTTTCTCATCAACCAGCACCCCCAAGTCCTTCTCTGCAGAGCTGCTCTGAATCTCTTCTCTGCCCAACCTGTAGCTGTGCCTGGGATTGCTCTGACTCAGGTGTAGGACCTTGCACTTGGCATGGTTAAACTTCATGAGGTTGGCATCAGCCCACCTCACAAGCGTGTCAAGGTCCCTCTGAATGGCATTCCTTCCCTCCAGCGTATCAACCAAACCACACAGCTTGGTGTCATCAGCAGACTTGCTGAGGGTGCACTCAATCCCACTGTCCATGTCAGCGACAAAGATGTTAAACAAGACCGGTCCCAACACCGATCCCTGAGGGACACCACTCGTTACTGGTCTCCAGCTCGACACTGAGCCATTGACCACAACTCTTTGTGTGCAGCCATCCAGCCAGTTCTTTATCCACTGAGTGGTCCACCTATCAAATTGATGTCTCTCCAATTTAGAGATGAGGATGTGGTGTGGGACAGTGTCAAACACTTTGCAAAAGTCCAGGTAGATGACATCAACTGCTCTACCCCTGTCCATCAGTTCTGTAGCCCCATCATAGAAGGCCACCAAACTGGTCAAACTTTCTTTCATTTTTAGAAAAGCAATGATAAAACGGTCAGTGAGTTGACCCAGGTCAGAAAAAAAGACAAAATACCAAGGTTAATGGTATTTCCCTGGTATTTTTGGATCTAGAAAATATGCCCTCTCTGGAAGATACACTTCAGTGAAAGATACTTTTTTCATTCATTTGGAGACTACGATACCTTTTTGCATATCCTATTTCAAATCTACAATATAACTTCAATATGGGAAAAACTGCACTGCTAAATCTGAAAAGAAAGAAAACTTCTTTCTTCAAAAGCACTCAAAGGACTCTGTAAAAAAGGAACAAATCTGATATTTTCAAATTTTCCTATTACCGGTGAGTTTCAAATCTTTGCTCAAAATGAAATACATTTACATTCAGCTCATGTTACACAAAAAAGATGAAAATACACTAAAAATTTAGACATCCCAAAACCTACAGAACAATTCATAATTGCTTTTATTGTGTGAAACACTTACAAAGAGTTGCATTTGGAACAACGAAGTTTAACAGCCTGATAGAGCTTCTGGGGTTTATAAGTTCCCAGCTTTGCTCTAATGCGGTACTGCTGAGGAGCCGCGCTGCTCAGAATGGTTTTCAGTTCTGTGTTATTCAGATCCAGATGACTCGTTAATACTGTAAAATAATGAAGACAAAACAAAAAAAGCTGTGCATACCTATTAAACACCATAATATGTGTAAGATGGGAAATGGCCATTCCAAGTATGCATTTTCTCTTACTGTCCAGCTTCCCTTCCCAGTTACAGCCTCAATTTATCAATATAACATGCTACTACAGTCTTTCAGGTAAATCACAACAAATGTTGTTGAGCTGATGTCTCAAAAATATTTTTGTTATTTAGTAAAAGTAAAATCTATGTTTAGGTCAAAATGTTTCCTACCTGTAACAGGTAACTGCTGATACCTCTTCAAGTCTGATTCAAAATCTAAAATAAAGAAGAATTACCTAATTATTTTCATTCCTTCTTTACCATGTGGGCACACAAAAACAGATAAGACAGGCAGACAGACACATATATAAAACCAAAAGCTGAACAAAGGAAAATGAAGATCCCAATAATGTATGGAAACAATACTGCAAAAGGAAAATGCAAAGTAAGCAGCAAACATTAATTATGAAAAGTTAATATATTTGAGGAGAAATTAGTGTATACATTAAAAAAGCAATGCCCATCAAAATGAACACTTTTCAAATGCATACTGTGAATGATACTGCTAACATAAACTGTATTTATTTCCCTGTAATCCCTCTGGACAAGAGCATAAACACATTATTCTAAAAGCACTGTGGACTGCCTAGGGCCTTCTCTGAGCAACCTCTACTACACATGCACAGTACAGTAAATATGTGCAAAATTATTTCTAAATTTGCAGTGTTATGGTCTAGACATCAGGGATTTATTCTTGCCTTTTTTTCAGAAATATCCGTGTCACAGTATGTTAATAATGGCTAAGTACCATATGATTTTAAAAGCTAGAAGCAAAGACGCAAACTATGTGCAAACAGCATTAGGTTTAATTCATTTTTAGTTATTCTGGGTTTAAAATACCACTAGAAGAATAATATGGGAACTGTAGAACTGTCTGTAAAATACTACTTTTCCATGGCATTGCACCTTGCAACTCTGCCACTGAAACAATTTTCCATCCAATGGCTTTACAAGGGCTCCTCAAACAAGCAGCTGTTTAGTAGTGTTTTCAGTGTCTGCCTCTGAGTAATCCCCCTTTAGAGGGAATTAATCAGTGCTTTATAATCTAATATAGTATGAATAAGACAACACCTGTGTTTAATAATTTATTCACTGCCTCCTATGAAAGTATTTTTCCATGTATATGAAAGGCTTCAGCTGCAAGACAGGTTAGGGTAATGTCAATTTCCAGTCCAATAATCCAAAAGAATCCTCTAAAGCTTTGTGTCTGAAACTAACATTATACACTTACAGAAGGAGTAACTGTGATCTTATCTTGACCATGTATGTGTTAGAAGAAACAGCATATCAGCTTTCAATTCTTCCTACCTGCATCACTGTAAAAATAGTCACGTACTTCAACTGAAGACATGCTTTCCATATCCTGACTGTCGGGCAGATCCACCGATTCTAAGAATCTATAAATAAATAAATATTTTATATTCTATGTAAGTCTCTCATATATATATACATACACACATATACTTATATGAAGCCTAGTCTTTATCAATACACAGGTGTAATGTTCAGATATAAATTTTCCAGCTGAGACATAAATTAAATTGAGCTGGAAGTTGCAGGTATGTATATTAATGATGAAGATCAGATACTCCTTTCCAAATAATTTCTGGAACTTTAAACACAATATAGTGTCAAAATAAATCCGTACAGCTGGAAACAGAATTTCTGATTTTGGGTACTTAGCCTTTCCTGAGGAGGGGGAAGGAAGGGAGAGGAGAGAATTTATGACCAGTGGAAGAAGGGGCAGGCCTCTCAGGAGGATCTCAGGATGCCATGAGGTTATGCAGGGAAAAAATTAGAAAGGCCAAAGCCCACCTAGACCTTAACCTGGCTACTGGCATAAAAGGTAACAGAAAATGTTCCTATAAATACATTAGCAACAAAAACAGGGCTAAGGAGGACCGACACACTTTATTGGCTGGAGGACAAATGTAGTGACAAAGGATGAGGAAAAGGCTGAGGTTCTTAATACATTCCTTGCCTCTGTCCTTATAGGAAGGCCAGTTGTTCTCCTGGTATGCAGCCCCCCAAGCTAGAAAACATGCTCATAATGAAGCCCACATAATCCAAGGGGAAAAGGTCAGCGACCCACTACACCACTTGGATACACACAGGTCTGTAAGGCCAGATGGGATCCATCCAAAGTGACTGAAGGAGCTGGTGGACATGCTCACTGAGCCACTTTCAGTCATTTATCAGCTGTCCTGGCTAACTGGGGAGGTCCATTTGACTGGAGAGGCTGAGGAAACTGGGGGTGTTTATCCTGGAGAAAAGAAGGCTCAGGGGAAACCTTACTGCTCTCTACAACTAGCTGAAAGAAGATTGTAGCAAAGTGGATGTTGGTCTCTCTTCCCAAGTAAGACGTGACAGGACATGAGGAAATGGCTTCAAGCTGAACCACAGAAGGTTTTGACTGGATATTAGAAAGGAAGAATTTCTTCACTGAAAGGGATGTCAAACATTGGAACTGGCTGCCCAAGAAAGGGGCTGAGTCACCATCCCTAGAGGTATTTAAATGGATGTGATGCTTTGGGACATTGTTTAGTGATGAACTTGGCAACATCAGGCTAATGGTCTGACTCAATGATATTAAAGGTCCTTTATAACCTCAAGTATTCTATGATTCTTTATGCATATAACACTGTTCAGTAAAACATTTATATTCTATGACTCATTTTGAGTATCTTTAAGTCTCACCAATTTCAAATGTGCTCCATTTATTTGCTTAACCATAGATTTATCTCTAAAAGATTATATGCCAGTACAGAAGAGAATAAATGTGATAATTATTACAACACTATAGAACAGAAATCTCAATACCTACTGTATTTTAAATTCCAAAAATTAGCCTTTATTTACATAACTCCCCAAATACTCTTCATATCAGTGGTGCTAAAGATGTATGGTGTTCTAGAGCTTCCGGTTCTTACATATTTACATTTCTAATCTCTACAGTTGTTGCATTAGCTTAGAGTTTTCCAGAATCAGCTAGAGAAAAAACCCCACCCCTACATATAGGACTTACGCTTTTAGATCCTTAACATCCGGGTTACTTTCTGGTAAGACTCCTATTCCTCGACCATAACCAGTACCTCCATGAAGATGAAATTCTAGATGTGAGGCATCTTCATTATCAGGACTTGCTTGTTTTGTACGAATACTGTAAATTCTCAGAAAACTTCCAATCTGGGAAAAAAAAAAAAAAAAATATTGGTTGCTTACTTGGACTGAATCACATAACAGCTGAGAATTTCAGGGACCTCTGGAGAGTGCCTAGTACGACCCCCATGCCCAGAGCAGAATCAACTAGAGCAGGCTTCTTCAGGCTGTCTCCAGCTGGGCTTTGAGTGTTTCTGAAGATGAAGACCCCAAAACCTCTCTGGGTGATCTGTTTGCTTTGCTTTATCAGACAGCATTAGTGGCAGCAAAGGCTGATTCAGAACCAGCACAAGCGTTCTTACCGATTCCCAAGTAGACTTCAAAATACAGATCAAACGAGCCAATATATTCCTTTCCTGAGGGCACAATTTGTCTTCTATATTCACAACACAGCCCTCTGGAGACTGCCATGCTGTGATTTCTCCATGTATGCTCACACTCAGCAGTTGATCTCATGTCCATTACCATGCATGGGCTATTATCTGTTCATGTTTACATGCAAACACATCTGCTTACCCAGATTTCTTTATCTTGTCTTACATTACGGGTAAGATTTTTTTTCTACACCAGGATACAAGGCAACATGTTACAAATTCAAAAATTCTGGCACTGATCTTAACTCTGTTAGATTTTGTCCTTGGGTACATGGAGCACATCTTGTTTTGCTTAGAATCACTTTTGTGTTCTCTAAAACAGTTTGTCAAGTTATACAAATGGACTTAGGCTAACTTGTACAAGTACCTATTAAGAAAGAAGTTATGGAGGCATGAACATCAAATACATCTTTAACTTTGCTTTTATTTCAAAAAACAACTCCCACTATGCCTCCCTCTCACCTCCCCGAAAGCCTAAACCCAAACCAAGGTTCTAAAGGTAGACAATCTGGAGACTTAATTACATAGTTAATTTTCCTTCAATGTGTCTTAAAAGCCTTTGAATCAAATTAACTAGCACCCAAACCCTTTTTCTAAAGTATAACCTGAGATCCAGCTGATAGATGGCAAGCTACACATTCAATAACCTGAATTTATGTTCACTCTAAGTATCTGTAAATTGCTCTATACAAATGATGAATTACTTTAAATTTAGTTCAATCAACATTAATATTACAGCAGAATTCTGTTAAATCTTACTTCTGTTTCAGCTCCTGCTTTAACCTGTAGAAACCTAAAAAGTATCCCTATTAGACTGGATTGGCCAGGCCCTAGTACGACATTTATAAATGAATATATATATACATAAAAGCAGTTAAGCAACATTTATTCTAGAATCCTTCTCTGCATCAAGGAACAGGCTATGAGTATATAATGCTGGTACCAAATTGCTCTTTTAAACAATAATCACACTGAAAAAGGCAGCATACTTTCAAACTGAGGCACCAGGGACATAAGAAGCACACTTCAACCTGCACCTATTTTGCTTCTAGCATGGAGCTCTTATAAGAGTTTTAGTTGATCTGCATCATTAAGGGGCTGCTCATTTTGTTCATTCAAAGTGTATCAACATGACAGCTTGTGCATTTCGGTGGCAGTTCAGAGGCTTATCTAAAGCCTTTTTTTATCTTACTCAGGTGTGAAATTTCATTTAATTATGTTGAATATTCAAAAATGCAAGGGACAGTTGTATTGTAAAACTGATCTGGTGACTATGATAACTGCATTTGGAGAAAGCCTTTTTTTTTTTTTTAAGTTCTTAGCAAAGTTCAACTTATCAAACAACCTTATGTCAATTTAATAGTGTCAAAATATCCCCCCCCCCCCCCCCCCCAGTAATTTATATATAAGTGGGAAAAAGTTGATTATAATTGAAGAACTTTTTTTTTCAAAAACCATGTACGAAAAGTATTTACTATTTACTGTATGCAAAAACATAAAACATTAAACATGGGAGGAGAGAGTCCAGAAGGCAAGAATACAAAGTGCTGGGTTTGTCTTCTAGAGTCGTGTGCTGAAATTTATGCAAGAAGCCAGCCAAACTGCATGTCTTACTGTCCCGAGATTTATGACTTTAAAAATATCTTCCTAGTGCAGTTTCTGTGAGCTCCTTTGGGAGGCAGCATTGCTTACTGTTAACAGGGTGAGCAAATGTTACCGCTGAAAATGTTACCGTATTTCTGTTGTTTACAGAATGCCTGCAGACCGAGTACACTTCATCTACCTGACTGAGAAGAAATTATAACCTTCATTAAAGTAAACAGCATGATTTACAGAACCACATCTAAAATCTACTACAAAACCAACTCCTTACTTGACTACAGCAGTTCTGCTTATGAATTACCCACCTCATTTAAAGCAAGTTCAGTTAAAATGAAATTAAAGCAGTAAGGACACATTTCTTGCAGCAATATGAAATAGAATAAGACTCTATTTGCAGTCTAATTCAAGTATGACTATTTTAAGAATAAATATTAAGGTTAAAAGAAAAATTAAGAAGTTGCATATGCAGTTCCCTGTAGTTAGTCAAATAAAACAACTTCCTAATTTATACCAAAAATTCCCTTAATTATTTCAAAAAATATAGGGTTGCATTAATTTTTAAGGCACTGATGAATTTGGAACAGTCATTTATCATGGTAGTTAAATGTTCACATCTGGCCACAAAGAACTCATGACAAGAGGCTGTCTTTATTTACAGGAATCACTTAAAATAATCTGTACTAATTTTATGCCTATTTTATGGCTTATTATATTCAATGACATTTCTCTGTCATAATTTCATCATATCAACAGTCTTAATTTTATTGACTAGATTGTGCCCAACTTTTTGCAAATGACAGGAAGCATATACACAGCACATGGGTACAGTCCTTTGTAATAAAAAATATCAATGTAAAACCATTAAAGGGTTTGGAGGACTTGGGGGTGGGATGGTGGTGTGGTTTGTTGTTTTTTTTTCCTCTTTTAATGAGTACAAAGACGGAAGAGGGGAAAATACCATGGACAGGTCCAAAGAATGCTATCCAGGCCTGAAAAGTAGGAAGCTAGAAGTTATTGCAGTCATGTAACTCATTTAAGTTGCATGTTGGAAACGTGACTCAGACACCTGAAAAGCAAACAAGGCTTCTTAGTCCAAAGTACTATCAAAAAAAGATATTACACTGTATACAGAAGGAGGAACAGCTGAAAATATTCTAATTCTGCATTTGAAGACACATAACATGAAGCAAATACTGTGGACCTATGAACTAGGATTGGTATGCATACTCAAGCTTAGTTGTTTTAATTGTACTCTACAGAAAATGCAAGGCAACACAAAAATGATGGTATCAAGCCACAAGAGGACAGGATCACATATTCAGTGAATGACAATACATAAGGAAATTTCTAAGCCACTGTAGACAGTTGGACCCCTGCAGTGCGCTGAGTGAGCACTGATGCTCACTCACCTTGATGCTTACCATCTAGCAAAATGCCACAGATGGAGAAACCCATGGCACAGTTCTGTTGCAATGCCAGTGAATCCTGAGACCCTCTGGAAACATCAGGATGAGAAAAGCTAAGAATAATGAACTACAGCCTATGAGGAGCAACTGTACCCTGAAGAGTTAGTTGCAGGCTGGGGTTCCTAGAGTAAAGAGAAAGCTTCATGCACTCCAGGTAGCCAGAGGAAGAGGGAAATTCAGGAAAAAGCAGTGATCATCAGTGTCTCTGCTTAGCAGCTCCTGCTGTTGTCTTTATGCCTCAGGAAATAATTTCCTTCAGAGATGAGATTTCTGAAAATTCTGTTTGTGTTCTGTTAAGGCATCAAATGTTGAAAGCCACAATCTTGCCCAGCAGGAAATGGAGGCAAATAAATATAGGGGACAAAAAGTCTACTTACAGTATCAACTCTAGTGTTCCTTCAGTATTACTAAAGTTCCCTCCACTGAAAATTGTAAATATTATTTGACTGTTTCAGAAAATGGGATGAAATGCTCCTGTCTTCAGTGTTCTCTGGATAGATAATCCAAAGAGTGAGCTTTTAACAAACTCTTGTAGTAATATCCCTGACACTGTGCTCCAGGATTTGCTAAAATTTCACTATAATACATTACATATGTTCTCTAGACTAGTAGTGCTTACTCAGATCTTCCTTGTCTGAATATTTTTTTTTCCTCTCCAATCTACTCTTCTTAGTATCAAGGCTGTGTAAAACTGATTGTTCCTACATAAAACATAATTTCAGAGCTGCAACTGTCATTGCAAATGGTACATGATAATATGGTAGAGTGTAACCTAACAATTCGATAACAATTTACATTAAAAAAGGCAATTTTAAGCTACTGTCAAATGCAGAAGAAACATGAAAAATAGTGTACTTTTATTATTTCTGAAGCCATAAGCTGGCAAAGCATTTACTACAGTTTCTGTCCACAGCGTTCTCTGCATTCACGTTCAGGAAGGTGCACATGCACACACCAAACACTCTAGCTTTATACACCTACATAAACGATTTCTTAAAAAATTTTCACATAACATGACCCTGAAATAAATATTAATCAGGTTAATATAGAGTATTTCAAATATACTTTCTCATGACATAACATTATTTCTACCAGTATTTTAAACCAAATCTCTCATTAAATTATCTATTTTAGGAAAAGCCACCCCAAATTCTGTTGCCTTTAGATTATTCTGTGAAATAAAATTAATTGCACATATTGCAAGTTGAACATACGAAATCTTCCTGAAGTTTAACTGTTAAAGATCAGTGCTTTTTCTTTAATGACTTCATTAAGACAATCCACTAAAAAGCAGTGTTAAAAAATGATCTAACTTATACATCTTGCATGAGTGAAACTACTGCAACTTTGGACACAGCCAGGAGAACAGTCCATGTTGCTAAGTAGGTCAAACTAGGTTTGTTACTTTCCTTTCACATTAGAGCTTCTGCTACACAGTGCAGTATACAGCAAAGCCACAGATGCTTTAGAGGTAAGAAAGAAAAGGTTCATAGAAAAGAAAGACAGCTGATGAAGACATCCTATGTGAGAGATATTCAACAGGGATTCCTGAATACAAATGGGAGAGTGCAGTAAAGGGAGTATCACCAGATACTCAAGAAAATTTGTTTTATTACTTTTTTCCTTTAGTTTTCAAAAGACACTGCTTCACTGGAATATCAGCTGATATTTATATCAATAGATTACATCAGATAGCAAGAGAAAAATTCTGGAAAAGAAAATGCGAGTAATGAAATACTTCTGTGACTGAGTTTTGTTATGAATTCTTACACAAGGGCAACTTATTTTGCTATCATTTACTTATGAACAAGCATTAATATATCAAATTGATTTCATGTCTGCTGATAGTCCCAGCCTAACAATGATTATCACTTACCTTTATTTTCTGGTAAACTCCTTAAAAATGATGCTTGGATACACTGGGGAAAGCATAAAATGAAAGATGTATTCTTTGCTAATTTACTGTATTCAGAAGCAAGATGGCAGTATTGTTGAAGATCAAATGTTTAATTATGTTGTTGTTTTCTCTATCTAAGCATAATCAGCATTACTGACACACTAAATGAAGATTGCACTGCAAATTGCAGAAGTTTATAGAACAGAAAATCTTTTATTGACTTTAGAATTACTGGCCTTTTTGGGGACTACAAGTTTAACCCCACTTTATATAATTTAAAAAATTAAAGCATAGAATACATTTTCTGAGTGCATTATTTTCACAGAATTCTATATGGTATTGCAGTGTCTGAAAAGAACTGCTTAATTGGAAGATTTTTTTTTCATGGCAATTTTAGGATAATGAGGCTGTTTCACACATGTTGAAGGGATTTTGCATTCAAACAAAAGGTATGGGAAATACAATGAGATATAAAGGCGAACATCTGAAATGAATTAACAGTGTAACTGAATTGATACATTTTCTGAAGTGCATTCTAAGCAGAAAATAGGCCACAAAATGAGAGTTAGAAAAATCAAACAGTACATTACCTTAAGTGATCTTGCCAGATGTACATGGTTGTCATAAACTAGAATGTCTACTGTTAGATTTTGCAGCCGACGAAGAAGAACTTTTTCTCCTTCCAGGTCCCTTGCTTCCACAGGAACCTTCCATGTTGGGTAGGGACATTTTGTGCCATCCCATACCTACAATGCAGAAGAACTATTTCAATATACCCAGAATACTGAAGATTGAGATTGTAAATAACTTTTTTTTGACAAATTTGTTGTTTGATTTGTAATTGATAGCAATAAGAAATCTTAACTGGAGTATTAAAGTCCTTAAATAACTTAAATTTGATTTTATTATTTTTAATTATCATTCCTTAGAGAGTATAAAATATCCCTTACAGAGAATCTGATCAAGTGTTAAGACCTGGGATTTGTTCATATTATTATTAATAATAAATAATAACAATAACAACAATAAAATCTGTGCTAGCAAAACCTCAATTGTTTATCCAGCAGTTACAACCATTAGAATTCTTCATATGCAGAACTGTCTATATTTAATATTTTAATCCTGATATAGGGTGTTTTTTAACCACTGTAGCTGCAGCATATGAAGACTGTGTACACAGCATGTACTCCCTTAATTACTGAATCTCCTGCATCACTATAAACTGCCAGTTATCCAGATCATGTTAGAAAAAAAAAAAAAAAATCAGTATTTAACATATATTTAATTACAAGCATTATAAAAATTGTTTGCCTAAAGCCAAGTTCTTGATACACTTAAGTACTGAAATATCAGTAAGAGTTATTTTTGAGCTATCAAAGTTATTGTGAAAAAAGTAAGATTACCAACAGACTGGAACCTGAATCTTAATACTTAAACCAGACATTAAAATCTCAGTGGTAACTGCTTATGGTTCTGTAAACTGTGGTTTCCTGAGTTCCTGATGATAGTCTCTTCTCAGAGACAAGATAAATAATGGTGAAATACTGGCACAGAAATAGAAAAAATCTAGAGGCATTTGGACTATAAGACTTCAGTGCTGCATTTCATAGCATTTCCTGCATATAAATTCAACAGAAGCTAATTTTCAGACAGTTTATGATACCAAGGCATTTTGTCCCATGAGTCAGGTGCTGTAGAGGGGGAGAAGAAAAGACAAAACTTCATTTTTAAAGGGTTTCTACCCCTTATGCTTAACTGCGGTGGATCAAAGATCCACAGGAAAAGACCTAAGAATCAGCAGAGTCATGTGCAAATACACTGATAATAACTCATGGTTGAAATACTCATCCAAATCAAGAGATAAAAGGGGAAACTGTTCAGTGAAAATGTCCCACAACATTAATTTAATGTTCCCAAATAAGAGTGTATTCTGAAGGACTCAGATGGTCAGGACAAGGTGGTACATGCTGCCATAGATTAAAAAAAAAAAAAAAAAAAAAAATCTATTATATTCTGATCCTGTACCATGAAATGCTTAAAACCACCTTTGAAAGACAGGTTGTCCACTGTTTGAACTATCAAACCTTCTCCAGAACTGGGCTTGAGAAACACAGACTTAGTGCACATGCATTATGAATTTAGTCACTTGGACAAAATAAAGAAGTTTGTTAAGTTTCCCATTATTTTTCAACTGGCTTTACTTGGGACACTTCGGTAATTTCACATTTAGGAGATCAATCTGACAAATGGATTGCTGAATGTTTCCTGTGAAATTCAAGGATGACTACTTAGCTTTAAAATGTCCTTTGACAGAGGAACTAACGAGGCTAGTGTTGGGGCACCTTTTGGTGGAATTTATAAGCCAGAAAACTTTCTTTATCAGAAAAAGAAAATCCTTAGGAAAGTATGTGGAGACAGTGTTCTCACGGGAGAATGGCTAATTGGTACATAAACTCTGAATAATCCTGAAAGATACAGCAAGGCCGTGAGAGGCCCAAGGAAGCTTAAGCAAGCAAGATAAGAAGAAGCTAGAATTCACTGATGTAATGAGAACTGTGGACTGTTGGCAAGCTTTCGAGGTCAAGTTCCCACACCTGTGCTTAACCAATTATATGCTAGTTGCAAAGGGTCTTCAGGACATGTATCCAATCATAATATGCCAAATCACTGTAAGTGCATGTAAGAAATACTATTTAAGGGGTTAAGGCTTTGTAATAAATGGCTTTTTGTCTGATCATATTGATCTCTGACTGAGTCCATGTATTTTCTGCGGCAAAAGTAGTTGGCTTTGTTTTTTATTTGTACAATTATTAGCTCTCTACCTCAGGAACTTGCCAGCTTCACTCTACTCAAATTATGGATGAAAACACAAGAGCCCTGGCTTCAAAAACCAAAAGTGGTCTAAAAACCAACACTGATTAAGTTCATTCTGGATAGGAAACAGCAGATGGTTCTATCAGTAGTTATGAACAGACTGGAGCTAAGGAATAGTTAGTGGCAACCTTTGTCCATCACGGTGGGCAAAACACTGAAATGGGAGAGACAATGAAACCTGTTGCTCTCTTCAGCAGAGCAAGCTGTGTGATACAGCTTAATGTCAGCAATTTAACTGACAGACAGAAGGAAAGAAAAGACTAGTAGTAACACTCTTATGAAAGACATAAATGACAGAAGTATTTCTAGCATGAGTTTTTTAGTGTCCATCACTTTCAATAACAAATACTCAGAAAAAGGTAAGTACTAATGCTCTTTATGCCATGTCACCCCCAAGCTGTGCATATCCCAATTTATCAATAATAAAAGTTATGCTATGAGTGATGCACAAAATCACTGAAATTCATTTAAGTTCTTTGAAGCAATCCCCACTAGTTACATGAGCTCAACACTTAAAAATAATCATTATGTTTTATAGTATAATCAACCATTAATATAACTGATATACTTGGAATGACATAATAAATTTAAATCATTATTACAAAACATATAACCAAAATAATACAATATTTAATGACCATTTCAGCTGATACTACATTTGTTGTTTTTCTGTTTCAGTGGGTTTTTTGCTTGTTTGTTTGTTGGGGTTCTTTTTTTCTTTAGCAAATGAAAAAAATAGAGATCTGTCTACAATTTTTAAAAAGGCTTCTTCTATTGTGACCAACATTTGAAATGAGAAAGGGATGCTTGAGAAATGAGGAAATTACCAACAGCCTACCAATGTTAATATACCATTTTTAAGCTTGTCTGATGTATTTTAATATGGATTGAAGTATTAAATATCTTACACCACTAAAAAATATATGGTCAAAGGAATTATGTATCAGAGAAATTGATCTACTGTTGTCCGATATCAAGCTTTTACCTTCCTAAGCCTATCCTAAGTCTTCTCCCCAAGTCATTTATCTTTACTATACAAACCTAACAAAATTGACTTCAGATTTTACAAAGAGGGTAAAGCAATATTAATAATTTACAAAAGCACTTGTCTCTGTCCTTGTAAAGAGTCCTTCAATGCTGAACATATACTTATTAACGAACAACTTCATTACAGTCCAAAGTTCTGAAATTTTACTGGGTCTTATTAAACATCTATTTCATAAGGGATAACTAAATGGAAATGTTTGTAACAGCAGCAAAGCATATTACAGGATGACACTTAAGACTTGTTTCTACATAGTGCAAGCATTTTGCTCTGCACGAGAAAAATCTTTGCTGCTTTAATGAAGGAATAATGAATTGTGCTGTTTCTAAAAATGTTGTAGCAGTACAGCTTAATACATTAGAACCAATAAATAATTTTACGAAGTCATAAAATGAAAATAACAGCCTATTCTTCACTGATATTTTAACAAGCAACTTCTAAAAGAAAAAAAAAAAAGAATTTACAAAGGAATTTCAGAATAACACCAGACTCTTATACCTGGAGCTAAACCCAGGAAAATTACGCAGACCTCCTTTTTACTTAACTGATATTAAGGATCACCCTGGAAAAGATGTGTGGCACTTTGCATTTTATATTTTCAGTGAGCGATGATCCCCAAAGCATTTTTGTACGATTAAAAACAGCTACCCAAAATCAATCCACCAAAATAGGTAATATAATCTATTCCTTAGATAGTGCTACTTACTACATTAACTGTATCCAGCAGATCTAGAAAAGAAGCAACAATTGCTGCTAACTAAAACACAAGGTTGAAATTTAAAACTAACAATATTTTTCAACTTTAAGAAGTCTTGTTATATTTATCTACAAATGTTTGTGAAATGCTGATCCATAACAATGCCACCTTACAAAACCTCCGTAAAGAAATGTATCAGATGAAGAACTTTAAAGCGAAATGGGATTTCTATTTTGTTTACATGGAAATAAAATGGTCAAGGATCATCAGTTTACTTAACCTCAAAATACTTATCTACATAACATTAAAGCAATGAATATGTCTGGTTTATGAAAAATTGAATCACAATGCCTTAATAAATATAAAAAAATATTATTAAAAAAATACCTTTAGAAGAAAAGAAGATCCATCCACTTTTGCTTTTCCTACCAGCTGGCAAGTGAGATCAAAGAACAGCATTGGCTGAACACCAGACAATTTTACTGCAGGTTCAGAGATAGAAAGATTACTGGCTGCCCAAATACGTAAATCTTCTACTGTTTTGTGTTCTTCATCCACGAAACTGTACCCTTTGCTAGAGGTTCGAGGAACTATTGGCGCTCCTACACTTCCATCAAATGTCAAGGATGCAAATCCTCCACTGGTAATTCCCTGCATCTGTCCATTGTATTCCCTGATCTGTAACAACATATGAAGAAAAAAAGAAAATGGTTACATTGCACTGAAATATACATACATTTGTTTTATCACATGCATGAAGAACAGACCATTGATCACTTTTGTTCCCAGTGCTATTAGGAGAACAAAGTCAAAATAAAAATGAAATAAAAAAAGGAAATGAACAGTAACAAGAAAACAAAGTGAATAAGCAGAAAATACAGACTAACATGAAAGATTTTTTTTTTTTTAAAGAGGCAGACTACCTGTAAATACACAGCATTGGTAGAGAGCATTCACATATCTCACAATGTTTGTGTGGGGAACACATCAGGATTGTGTTTACAGATGGGAAAACTGAAGCACAATTTTTAGGGGTCATACAGCAGAGCGATGGCAGAGTAAAGTTATTATGGATTCCTCTTTCCTGCCTCTCACAATAGCCCCATTTCCTGATATTATGGAACTGAAAAAGAAAATACAGCTCTAGAAGGTTTTTTTTTTTTCCCTATAAAGTAGCTTTCACAGACTGAATTATGAATACAGCTCTCACAACTACTCTTACGTCTACTACTGTGCACATGGCAGATCCCCTCTATCCTGATTTAGTTGTATCTGCTACCATATAAAACATGGTGTTTAAAGTCTGAAGAGTTCCTTCAAGGATCTAGTTTAATCTTCCTGTTCCCTGTACTTATATAAAAGCACTGCAGAAAGCAATCATCAGAAATCTCAAACTAACTGTTTTGATCCATCTCTTTAATTAAAATTTACTTACCAAAAAAACAAGACTTCTCCATATAGCACTTGTGAGACAATACAGATTAGGATTCCTAGTGCTCAATTTTCAAATGCTTGAAAATCTACTGATTTAAAAAAGCAGAATCTGAAATATGTGACAGAAGTTCCAAACAGCAATATTTTTTTTTACCAAAACATTGCCAGTTATTTAGGCCTACATTTTATAAGCACACTTAAATTTAAAAAGCACCCAAATCAAGTATTCCTTGGAAACAAAGTTCAGTCCTGGTGACAGGAATTCCTTTAATCCCTGCTACTTTAACATAATGCATAAATACATTAAAGACAATCTCTAGGACAAACTTTCATTTACTTAAGTATTCTCCAGCCATGAATAATGGAGCATATTAATTCACAGAACCATAGAATTACAGAATAGTTTGAGCTGGAAGGGGCTTTAAAGATCATCATAAATGATTTTTAAATTTTATTAAGCTAAGGGAAAAGAGCTAATCTAAGACTTGCCTATATCACAACTCCCCCTCAATAGATTTTGTGTCATTTCTAGAGGGCTTGGGGATTCTTTCAAAATAGGTAGATTGGGAAGAAAGCAGGGGAGGGGGCAGCAGGCGATTGCTTTAAAAATTCCCTGAGAATTTAAATAAATTCAATAAATAATGGTTCCAAACAAGAGTATCTTCTGGCACAAAACCAGAGCAGATACAATGTATTTGGCTTTCTCTAAGCAAGCAAGTAAATTCAAATACATATTGCAGGAGTGTTTGGCATAGTTTTTATGGACTAAAGAACAAAAGGTGAAATGCGACCTCAATAAACTGTATGGACAATAAACTCTAGTGATCTCTATGGGGTACAACTCTATCCTGAATATGCTCATTGAAAAGAAGCTAATCTTGAAACACTTATAAATAGGTTTACAGCAGCCCAAACCACTTGAACTATTTTTTTTCTTACTGCAGCTGGTGTTATTCACCTCACTCAATGAAAGACAAAAGTGCAATACTAAGTAATGTATAAAGCCGGAATAATAGCATCTTAAAGGTAGTTTTCCATCAAAACTGATCGTTAAATTGCAGAAGCAAAGGACTATTATGAAACCACTGCAGTCACCGATCATCTTTGATTATCAAACAAATGCCTTGTAAAACAACATATACTGAGCTAATGTACACATTCTTACACTAAGAAGAAAGATTTCCTAAAATAAATTTTACTACTGATTTGCGGATCAGGAATTCAAGACAATATTTTGAATTATGAGTACATTAAACTTAAACTTGACTATTATTTATACACATAAAATTATTTCAAGACATCTAGCTGTGTTGTGGCTTGCTTTTGGGTTTTCTTTTTGTTCATCTGTTTTTTGAATTATTTTATCATCTGAAATTCACTGTCCAAACTTCTATTCCAATGTGAGTATACATTCAGCTGATGACCTCATTGTAAGGCATCTTTTACCTAAGCAGAAGTCAAAATATATACTTAACCAGCTTAAACAATTTCTGTTCTGATAATAATTTTAAAAAAACAGTACATATTGTGATACTGCTTTAGAAACATTCGTCAGAGAAAGCAGAAGAGTGTATCTGACAAAATTCTAGTAAAGTAAAAAATGCATGATTTGGAATATTCCCTACATATTTAAGACATGACAAAACCTAGAGAATTAAGACTTGAAATTGCTGCAGAGACTGTATTATACTGAGGATGTCCTACAATAGTTTATAGTAAGAGGTCACTGCTTTGGTCTTCATTCTCAAAGTGTTCCAGATGAGTCATACATCTCCATAATGCTGTGTATTTGGGAAAAAGACCCACCAAAACACATTCTAGACAGTGACAGGATCAGACAACTAGTGTATGCTGAACAAGATGAACACCTAAAGAAGAATGTGCTTCACTTTTCTCTGATTCTCAAACATTAAAATGGAAATCAAATACTGATTCACTTCACTGAGAGTGAGGAAATAAATTTTTGTTTGTGAATCACTCAGAGGTAATAAGGAATATTAGAGAAAAGCCAATGAGGAAATTAACAATTCTATCATCATGGCAGGGTTCGAGTAATACAAGGCAGAATATATGTCAAAACTCCCAAGTCAAGTGAGGATAAAGTACTGCAGGTTTAGTTAGCACCAGCAGGTTGCCTCATCCCTCTCTTTAGTAGCTTAAACATTAGGCATTGAGTCTAAGATATTAAGAGCATCCACAGTTACCTATAGAAGAAAAAATGTTCCAAGAAAATTCCACTTGCGATTAACTCCTTCTTTGCCATGAAGATAGAGGGGGCTAGACAATCAGATCACAGGCTTAGCTTTTATACTGTTGGTTAGGGGGATCCCCCCCACTGTCATCTCTGCAGAGATGACAGACTGAGGCTGAAGGCCCAAATACAGTATTGTAAATGACTAAGTACTATAATTCAGAAGAAATCATCATAAGATGTCATAAAAACACACTTCAAGGAATATTAACTGGGATTTAATTAAAAGTGGGTAATCTTTCAGTTCTATTACAAAGACACTTAAAATTTAAATTCTCTTCAACAAACACTGAGCAAATAAAATTTTTCTCTACCAGAGTGATCCCAACAGAATCCTCTCCATTAAGTTCGTATTAGCCCTGAACCATCAGACCTTGCCAATACCTGTGTTACTAGGAAGATACTCATTAGGAGCTGAGAGTGTAGCTGAGAGCAGTCATTTTTAAAATGTGTTTGCTATCAATGTCAACTTCTTCAAAGACTCTCAAAAGCATATCTGGGACAGAGATATGTGAATTCATGCTGTAAGGACTATGTATTACTGTCCTCACTGGTAAGAACAGCTCTGGAAGGCTGTAGCCTCTAAAACCCTCAATTGCTGCCCATTCAGCAGGTTACGAGAAGCTGACAAGGCCTGAAGACAAAAGAAGACAGTTAAGAAGTAACTGCAGACAGTGTAATTAAAACTCTGACTTTTCTCTCTTTTTTTTTTTCTTTCAAAATGAAAACTGTGTGGCACAGCAGTCACAACTGCTATGCTGGTGCAAGACAGAAAGAGGTCACTCACTTGCAGCTCACTCCCAACAGCTGGCACCAGGCTTCTATGTCAGATTTTTACCTGCTCAGATCAGATATGAAAATTCCCAAAGTAGCTGTTTTTTAGCCTGGAATGAATGAAGACATTCTCATCCAGAAAAAGACAACTTAGTGACTTCAGATCATTCAAACTTAGAAAATAATTAAACAAGCTGTCAGTTTAAGCATCTGAGGAGACACAGATTGTGGGTAGCTGGAGGTCAGCTAGGGCTGGAAACCACTTAAAACAGCTGTGATGAAAAAAGCGTATGTGGGAGGGAATTGACAAACCCACCTTTAAATAATGAAATATCATCTTGGAGAATGAAGAAATACCAACTGACAGGAATTTTAGAATAATGTCCTCCAAAATGTAATGCCAAATCAGAACAGTGAAGTTGCTTACATGTGCTATTTCCATAAATTTCCTTAATAAGTTTATATTAAAAAATAAAGAGTGGAGTAGAGACACTATTATGTTTGCATAAGAAGGTGCACACATAACTTCTATGACAGTGATCTTCATGTTTTCTAACCTGTTCTTTCCATCTCGAAAAAAAAAAAAAAACGCAAAAACCAAAACAGTGTTAACCTACCACAGACATACAATGTTTCAATTCTTTTAATCTGGCTCCTTTTTACTTTCTCCTTTCCCACACATATAAACTTTGTATTTTTATTTAAGAAGCAATAAACATGTTTCTATCTCTACTGAATTTCAGAAACAGTATCTATGTAACACCCTCCTGGATAAAGAGATAATTTAAAATTTACCATAAGACTCTCTCATCTGAAGTCACAGAATCATAGAATCATAGAATAGTTAGGGTTGGAAAGGACCTTAAGATCATCTAGCTCCAACCCCCCTGCCAGGTGCATGGACACCTCACACTAAACCATATCACCCAAGGCCTCGTCCAACCTGGTCTTGAGCACTGCCTTTCCTAAAGAGCCTGTAACCTTCCATTCCAACACTCCAGTCATAGGAGCCATCCCGCCATGTTTCTGTAATGCCTATTATATCATCCCCCCGTAGATGTGCACACATCTCTAATTCCTCTTGTTTGTTCCCCATGCTACGGGCATTTGTATAGAGGCATCTGAGCCAAGCTCCAAATGAAGCCAGCTCACTGGCTAGAGCAGCTGGGATATCTCTACAGTGCTCCAAGCATTTATTATAGGTGCTGGCAACTGACTGTATAAATACTTACAATGGAGAGAGAAATTAACTAACCTGGTTTGGGCTAGTATAAGGGCTCTTTAAGGTCATCTTTATGTATAGAGTAGAATTAAACTATATTTAGATTTTGAAGCTTGTGTTGCTAATCAGTACCTGAGATGTGCAGTTAGTCTTGAGAGTTCATTGATTTGACTTTGATTTTATGAGGATTATCAGGGGACTGGAGCACCTCCCATATGAAGACGGGCTGAGAAAGCTGGGGCTGTTCAGCATGGAGAAGAGAATGCTGCATGGAGACCTCATAGCAGCCTTCCAGTACCTGAAGGGGGCCTATAGGGATGCTGGGGAGGGACTCTTCATTAGAGACTGTAGTGATAGGACAAGGGGTAATGGGTTAAAACTTAAACAGGGGAAGTTTAGATTGGATATAAGTAAGAAGTTCTTTCCTGTTAGGGTGGTGAGGCACTGGAATAGGTTGCCCAGGGAGGTTGTGAATGCTCCATCCCGGGCAGGGCTCAAGACCCGGTTGGACGAGGCCTTGGGTGATCTGATTTAGCGTAAGGTGTCCCTGCCCACGGCAGGGGGGTTGGAACTAGATGATCTTAAGGTCCTTTCCAACCCTAACTATTCTATGATTCTATAATATGCACAAATAACTGAATACTGTTTCTGAATCTTAAGTTCTTTTTAAATAATCTCAGTGGTACAAATCTCAATAACTGGCTAAATCTTAGCACTTCTTACATTTATTGTCATGGGGTTTTCTTTTTTGTTCTCCTGCTATGGCATATCAAAATGTACATGCTTAGCACTACTGATCTTTACCGCTTTCATCATCCTTTTGTATAATCCTCAATTTCCTTGATCTCTCAGCAGTATTTAAATATGCAATTTGTTTTTTCCCATCTGGCTTCTTTCAGGACATTTGCTTATTTCTGCTGTAATTATTTTAAGCAAGAATAAAATATATAATTGTATACAGTTACCTTGCAGATTAATATGTAACACTTAAAATCATGTCTTTGGTACTATTCTGCACCTCTTTAAGTACAGTCAAGCATTATAAGACTTCCGTTCAGTCTGTGTAGCATGGTCCCTCTTCCCTATACACTTGCAGCAGGCTTAAGAACAACATCCAGCAGAAGCAGGACTAAAGCAACAAACACCGTTTCCTTCATGGCCTTTGATACAGGTAAATAAGGTAAGGCAGGAAAACACCAAAGCAGCAACTAGACATTGTACACTAACAACCCCAGATAAGCTGTTTAATCGATCAACTGCTTCATCTAATGTCTCCATGTGTTAATTTCAGTACATGAAGAATTAAATTATTTTTACAATCCTCTCACTGCAACAAAACAAGCACACATACCCCCCCACATACTAGTACATACCTTTATTCTATGAAATCGGACAATATCTCCAACTTTGTAGATTTTTGGTAGGGAATCCAGATTTCCACTGAAAAGAGAGCATGTTAACTTCGCATTTGATGGGTCCACGAGTGTTACAACTGAGCAGAAATCTGTAAAAGATAAAAGTGAATAAATTATACGCATTATGGAGTTATTAATACACAGATATTAAACATGGGATAAGCAGGCATATGGCCATTTTTTTCTGCTATGACTTCCCAAGTCAATTTAGTCACAATAGCATAACAACTGAAGCGTGGTCCATCTTGCCAACAATTAGCCCAGACAACTGAAAATGAAATAGGTGATTAAGCTCAGGTCTGTGAGCCAGGAACACACAAAACTTTTCCTTCTGTCTGCAACAGGCATGCAATTTTTTCAGGTTTCAATTTCTTCCTCTATAAAATAGGGAGCATATATACAATCTTGTACAATCCTGGTCTCCTGAAGAGGCAATGAGTTCTGCAAGTTCTAAAAGTAAACTAAAGCATAAATGACTTATCTTTCACTTTAACAAAATATGCAAGATATGTACTCCAAGGATACAGCCCCACAGCAGTAGTCAAAGCACCGTAAGAATCTGAAATGTGCCCTTAACAAAAGGACTGAGGTAACGGAGGAACCCACACTGGAGAAGAGGACATCACACAGAAAGGTGCAGATGGGGAAAAGAGTAAGGAATAGAGTAGGTGCTAACCCCAACCTCCTGCACCACCGTTTGCTACCCCAAGAGACACAGTGTAACCTGCAACAGTAACACTGGAAGTGGAGATGAAGAGGGAAGGAGAGGTGCCTAGAGTCAAGCTGAGCCTGAGAGAGGTGGAGGGAAGTTGTTTTCCCTTAGTGTAAAACTATTTCTCTTTTTTGTTTCTCAATACCGGAACCAGGTATGAAATGTTTAACTGGAAATAAATAAAATTACCCATGTCAAATCTGTTTTGGCTGTGCCAGGCACCTTTTCAATGCTCAAAAATTAAAACCATAAACAAGTAACTCCCCCCCTCCCCCCCAACGTCCCTTAGCTGTAATTCTACAAGGCAGTTCGTGATAATGACAGCAAACCAGAGTTAACATATCTGGGAACTGAATAAAGGTATGATAGTGCCAAAACAAATTCAATAAAATCTTCATCATGCATTTTATAAAGATACAGACACAAACAGTTGCCAGACAGCTTTGAAAGAGAATACTGGCAGCCTACTACAACTGACAGATTCGCCTTGAATAACAACTACAGGAAGGCAGTCAAAAAAAGACAATTGTTATATGTAAATTTTGTGAACAGATTTCCCCACCACAAAGACAGGTTAGACTGGATGAAAATACATGCTTGTATGTGCACTGCCTATGCCTTCAAAAGAAATACTCTACCACTTCCAGCAAATATATTAAGTTTTGCTATCACTTAAAAGTTTAAATTCACCAACAGTTTGAGTGACTGAAGTGTTGAAAGAAAAAAATCAAGTGAAGGCTTACCAAGAAAAATAAAACTACTATTCCTACAGATAGAAAAGCCTCTAATATTTCTATAAAACCACTACTCTTCTTCAACAAGATTTTTTTTTACACAAATTCAGTAGTGTTAAATTCTCATCTGTTGCACTCAGGAGTTACTAAGTGTCGCTCTTTAGCATGCTTACACCAAAGGCATAAGGTCAAGTGTAATATAGCACCTATTCTGATGTTCTATGCTAGGATTAGCAGACATGAATAGAGTCTAGCCAGTGGCTGACAAAACTGCAAGTATTTACTACTGTAATCCAGAGATGGATTGGTGTATTTCTTTGGGTATGAATTATAAAGGTTAACTTAACAGGTCAGCTGCAAAGCAATATGAGTAAAATGAGAAATTAAGAATTAAAAAAAAATCCCATGCAGTTCACAGATTTAAAATCCTTTGAGGATACAGGATAACACGTTACACTGCACTGATATAATCCAACATGGCAACAAAGAGTGGAATAACAAAAACATTCCACATTTAAATTGTCCTTACTTTCTGATGCTGTGATTATCTATTCTAGTCAGTTTCCTACCTGCGAAGCTGCCTATTTAAGGGGGGAAAAATTAACACTCTCTCTCTATTTTCTGTGCAATTAGCATACTCAAAAGACTAATTATCACCCTACTCAAAGTATCATAAAACTGTTATACTTGGTTTATACAGTCACAGAACACCTTGTATGCAAAATAGGTTCTCTGTTTCTGTGATTTTTGCCTTCCATTCTCAACTACCACCTCAAAAAAATCATTCTACAATAATTCTAATTAAAATAAAGTTATTCAAGAACAAAGCATAAGGACTTATTTTCTTCTAAAGAAATCTTCATCCAGCAAGTCCTTTTTGAAGGTTAGAAAACAAAAAGCTACCTGTCTTTCCTTCTCTAGCTGGAAGGTGAAAATTGCTTTTTGCTTTCCATACAGCATTATAGTTCAGTGCTTGAATTCACTTTTCTGCACAAATAATGACTCAAACCCTAAACAGAATTGCAGAATTTAAGTAACATCCCAGTGTTACAAGAAACAATATAATAAAATGTCATTGGTCAAACTTTCATTTTTTTCACAATATACAATGATGCAATACCCTCAGTTACTCAGCTAAAAAAAAAAAATATATATATTTATATATATAAAGTTTACATACTGGAGTCAATTTTCCTTTAGTAGGTAAGCTTACTTCACTCATTATCTTTTCCTGTTGTGGTTTAAGCCCAGCTGGTAACTCAGAACCACGCAGCCACTTGCCCACTCCCCTCCTTTTCCCCTCACCCCTTCCTGGCAGGATGGGGAGGAGAATCAAAAGAATGTAAACAAGATGGGCTGAGATAAGAACAATCCAATAACTAAAGTATAATATAAAACTGCTACTACTACCACTAATAAGTAAAATAACAAGGGGAGAGAATGTCAAATTAAAAAGAGAAGGAAAAAAAACACCCTCAATAAACAGCAGTGATGCACACCACAATTGCTCACCACCTGCTGAGCAATACCTAGTCTGACCCGAACAATGGTCTGGACCTTACAGGCAACTCCCCCCAGTTTATATACCAGGCATGATGTACTGCGGCATGGAATACCCCTTTGGCTAGTTTGGCTCAGGTGTCCTGTCTCTGCTTCCTCCTGGCTTCTTGTGCCCTTCCTCACTGGCAGAAAATGAGACTGAAAAGTCCTTCATCAGGGTAAGCGCCACTGAGCAACAATTAAACATCATTGTGTTATCAGCTTCTCAGACTAAATTCAAAACCAGCACTGCACCAGCTACTAAGAAGGAGAAAAATAACTGTTATAGCTGAACCCAGGGCATTTCCTACCGAAGGGAAATGCTACCGCTGATAATTTTTACTTCCAATAACCTGTGTTAAAAAAATGACACAATGGATGCATGGTTTTCAGCAAATTTATATAAAAGTTTTTACTTTCATACTAGACTGACTCAGCAAAAGCACTGGTTTTAGGCTGACAATATACAGAATGCCAAACTGCACCTACCGTTTGTTTGGATTTTTTATATATACTTAATTATTCTAAAGAGGTATTCCCACTCAGGCTTAAGATTAACATCACATGAGGGACTATCAGCAATGGGCAGCTATCTGCAAGGATGCTTCTAACACTTCAGAACTGGCATTATATCTCATAAAAAAAACCCCACAACTATTCAGAGAAGCAGCTTTTTTAGAAAAGAAATTTATGCAACAACAGGAATTCTTTATTACTGCAAAGACTATCTTTAAGAAAGTATCAATAAAATTCCAAGTCAAGACAGAAGAACTTTACATTAACTACATGGAGAATGCTGACCTCCAAACTTCTAGGTCCTCACTGTAGTTTGAAATATCAATGTTCTATATCCCCATAACAGACATTGAGAAACTAAAGTTTCCTCCACTGTGATGATGGTTTAGGTTCATCCTTCAGATTATAGCTTTCTTTTTATAAATATCACAGCATTTCCAGTCTTTTATGGACTCTTAGGTAAGTCATCAGCATGCTTAGAAAGTCAGCATCTCTTCACAGTGTAGACACACTAACACACATATATATATATATTACAAAAACAAAACAGCAAAACCCCCAAAACACATGGATTCACAAATTTATTTTTCAGTCCTTGTAAGAAAACCAGAATTGCTGCAAAAGCTTTCCAGATCAGTAGTTACTGATTTCATGGGAAGTCATTTAATACTTACTGATTAAACATTTATTTTAGTTTTATTCAGCAATTCCTAACAAAGATGCTTATACAAATTTTTAAGGTACAAAGCATCAGTCTGATTATGACTCTCTTTTTGGACAATCACATATGTATTCCTGACTAACCTTTAAGTGAAAGCCCACTATTCTGAATCAATAACTCACCCCTGCAAATAGATAAAAAGGTTTTTGGCCATGTGTTGTCAATGAGGGACTCAACTAGAGATTGCCTTCTGTTTCTTTTATTTCAATGTACATAAAACAAGAGAGATCAGTGTAGCAAATTAATCTCTTTTCTAAACTTCACCAAACATTAATACTGTTTCCAAGAATTACTGAGGCTATTCAGTACTGAACTGGTGTTCAGTAACACCAGTTAGCAGCTGAACCAGCTAACTTATCAAATATGTTCAACAAAACACAGGAAGAAAAATACTACAAATGTACACACTCTCCTATGTGTGTATATACATATATCTGTACATATACACAGATACTGCAGAAGCCCAAAACAAAACCTCTAAAGAATCAAACTGAATTTGTTTTACTACAGCATGGTATTTCTAACATGGCTATGCATTTAAGAGATACAAACACTGAGTAACTACCAACAGCATCTACCTAAACAGATGCTTTAATGCCATGCCATCATTTGTAAATTGCAGATCAAAGTAACAGCCTTGAAATTTCTTTCTATTAACTATTTATTCAACTGTTGAATTTTTCATTTCCTTTTAAATTTTTTTAACTTTTCTTTATTTTTAATATTAGCTGATAGGAACTGGCAATTTTCTAAAAAAGAAATACACACACAACCCACTGTGATTAGAAGGGAACAGAACATTACTCTCATCTTTAGGCTCCAGAAAGGAAATCATTATCCTTACCTCTATAAGAGTTTTTATTTTGT